GGGGGAAATATACAGGGATTGTATACCATGGTGCTAGTATGGTGTGTGGGGGAAATATACAGGGATTGTATACCATGGTGCTCGTATGGTGTGTGGAGGAAATATACAGGGATTGTATACCATGGTGCTAGCATGGTGTGTGGGGGAAATATACAGGGGTTGTATACCATAGTGCTAGTATGGCATGTGGAAAAAATATACAGGGGGGTGCGTGTGAGGTACCAATGTTGCGACAACCTCAATTTAACTTTACACTGATTTGTGACAACAGAACCTACATTGTAACGAATCTCACTATTTTCATAATTTATATTAATATTTGCTCAAATTTAATTAAAGTTTGCGTAGCTTAGGTTTAGTGAAAGGGAAAGGTATGGTTCAATTTATATCAATATTAATATAATTGTACCCCATTTACTAAACCTAAGCTTCGCAAAAACTTCTATGTCAAGTCACGGAATATTGAAATTTCATTCAATTAAAATGCAATTCCACGTTGTATTGCATTGTATTTGAGTTTAATTAAACTCCAATTAAAATGAAACCCTAAATAGGAAAGTGTTTTAACCAAGTTCATATGGCAACTATATTAAAAGTTAATCCAATGTGTGCCATTATGACGGCGTAAGACATGTGGATATGTGTGTGGGATAGGGGGTGGGGGGTGGGGTTAGTGGACAGGGATTTTATACCATGGTGCTAGTATGTTGTGTGGGTGGAAATGTGTACCATGATGCTGGTAAGGTGTTTGATAAAATAGACAGGGGATTGTATACCATGGAGCTAGCATGGTGAATGTCATAAAAACAGAAGATTGTATATCATGGTGCTAGGAAGCTGTATCGAAACGCAGACAGGGAATTGAATACCATAGTTGTAGTAAGGTGTGGAAGAAAAAGACAGGAGACTGTATACCATGGGGAGAGTATGGTGTATGAGGAAAGAGACAGGTATTGTATCTAATTGTACGTTTCAAATTTAGTTTATTAGACACAAGTTCCTGTTATTTTATTGGTCACAAAATCACATACATTTCCAGAAATAATTTTAATTTTTGTTTATTTATGAATATTTTTTTGGATTCACTCACTGTTATTAAGATTTCATTACTGAGATAAAAAACTTAATAACAGCAACAATAAAAACAATACCTAAAAACAATTAATACATGCTATTAAAACTCAATGATAAAAAATAACCTTTAAGAAAATAACCATTTTCACATATTTTCACATATAAGTATTTCTGAAAATGTATATAATGTTGTATACAATTTATGTGATTTAAACAGGTTTTTATCACATCTCAAACCACTGCCGCACCCCTCAGGATCTGAGGTTCTATATGTACTGTGGTAGGGGTGGCTTTGTTAAAAAAAGTTTGAAATCTGATGAGTAAACATAATATTTACATGTAGTACACTCTGGAAGTTAAACAATTACATTTATGATTCATATTTGATGGTAAATATTTTCATCATCAAAAAACTAAAATATAAAATTACAATAAATTAATCACTATCACTTTGAGGTAAACTTAAAATTTGTTACAGCATTAAAATTGTTTTTGTTTCCCAAAGTGAAATAGCTAAATCAGAATAGTATAAATGAGTGTAATAAAGGGAACTCTCTTAGAAGCACATTACAACAATTACTGTGGAATACTTTATTTTCACTGGAATTAATTTTCGCTAAAAAGGCTTTTTGGGCGTTTTGCTTGGAATTTATTTTCACTGATTTTTGATGAGTTTAATGTGAAATATAGGGAAAAAAGTATATTCGCTGGATTTTATTTTCACGGAATCATCCCTTCAGCAAAAATAGCGAAAATAAATTTCGAGCGAAAATAAAGTATTCTACAGTATATGTTGAATTTTGATAATAGACACACCTCTGTTATTGTAAATATGTGCACAACTAACAAAACAAATATGGTATACTTATTATATTCTTGTCCATATAGACATGAAATGTCACCTTAGGTTTATTTAAAAAGCAGATAATGAAGCACAGTCAATTAATGACAGATCACAGATAGGGAATGTTCTATTAAATAATGTGCACATTTAAAAAAAAAACGTTATCTTTAAGTAAGTAGAAAGACTTGGGCTGGCAAACAGTTTGTTAAACTAAAAATTATTATAAATATGCCATATGACAATCCATTAAATTTATCAAAAATATTTACTTTAAAATTACAGTCTAATGTTGATATTTAGTATATGATACAAAGTGAATTCAGCCCTCAGACCTGACTATGAATTGTTTTTTGTATAATATAATAGTCAAAGATGATATAACATGAAATGCCATGTTATGAACAGTGTGCAACTACAACAATAACAGACAACTCACAGTCATCTACGATGAACCAAACAATGTAAAAAAACTTATAGTGTACATGATGTTATGGATTTGGATCGGTTGTTTAGACTTGTTAGTTAAAGACAACATTATAAATGACAGAGTCCAGCTCAGTGGTCTTGTCATTATAACTGTTGGAAAACATAATCATTGTGATATTACTGTTATAGAATATGTGACAATGATATGAACCGTGTGTTGGTACATTTAACAGACTCGTCACAGCACTACTCTCTACTTGGTCTACACTGGATTTCACATTGTACGTGCTACCGTCAAAATAATTCGACAGGGCCAAGTAGGTATCATTTTTGGCATGAAAAGGACATATCATGGTTGTCCCTTGCGTGGGGATGTTTAATGTCTTTTCAAAGGATCCATTCGTCCACTTGAACATCAGCGAATTAGTTTCATATTTTTCATCTGCTTGGTATATAACATTGATGAGATAGAGGGCGCTATTTAAATTTATTGGAACGATTGCCCAGGAACCGTAAACTGTATTTGGTAGGGTTTGGAGTAAAATGAACGCAGTGGAATTTGAATTCAGTTGATAAATCACAGAGCTACTGACATAATTTGCAAAAGCGACGTAAGTTTTGTTTCTCCATGCAAAAGCTGATGCATGGTGTGCCCCCTTTGTGGGAATGTCCTGAAAATGGCTGAACTGTTTCTTGGTTGTGTTCCAGATGTAAATACTGCTATTCAGTGCATACTTTATACCATCGTATGAATTCACCAAGACTAGAAAATGTTGCATCTTCCTTCATTTGCACACACGTGAAAATATTCCCAGTCGAATGCACCTTTCGAAGGGAATTTTTGAAATGTCTCAAATTGCTGTGATTTGTTGTTGAACTTCAGCACAGGGGATACTGTGTTGTATTGTGTTTCATTTACTGTGAGTTTGGCTATCGCTAAGAAATATTCTCCGTCCACATCGAAGAATCTTGCAGCATTGGCATTGTTCACTTTGATGTGTTGTACCAAAGAAAACTGGGTTCCTTTCAGTCGATAGATGTCGCACTGTGTATTGTAGTTGACAACAGCCAGGTACAGATGCTGATTTACAAGGTAACTATGTGACCTCCTTGCAGACGAGGTCTGAATAGTTTGGAATTGCTCCAGGGAAACTGAATCTGAAAGTGATAAAATGATATCATGTGTAATATAAGTGCCATCGAATCAGAATTCATGTTGTGTCATTATTAGTTTGAATTCTGCAAGTTACATGGTGTGTCATTATTAGTGTGAAGTCTGTAAGTTGTGTCATTATTAGTGTGATGTCTGTAAGTTGTGTCATTATTAGTTTGATTATAACACAAGTGCATTGTCTCAGACTCGTGACTTTCTTTTTTTCTCCCAGCATCGTACTATGCAAAGAAACAACACAAACACCAAACACCAAAACTGTTTTCAGCCATTTTGTTTTCATACTAAATATTTGAGGGTACTGTTCCTTTCGGCTCTGATCGAGCAGAACTGAACTCTGGAAGATTTCTGTTCCTGTTCGGCCCCCGACCGTGTAAACGCATTGGAGATAATCTCCTGTTAATTGATTTGAGGAGCAGTATTTCAGCTCCGATAGAATGCTGCCGTGTGAACATAGCAAGTATTAGTGTGAAGTCTGTAAGTTGCATATAATAATAATAATAATAACTTAATTGCATCTTTAAAAATACACATTGTATCAGTATAATTTAGCAACAAAGAATGATAATGTGGATAAGATTACTTCTAACTAAGAATGCATTGTGTATAAATTTTCCTACAGGTAATATTTGTATCTGTACTTTGTAATAAATGAATGAATTTTGAAGGACTGATTTGTATTTCAATAGAAACAAAGGTGATATATATTTGGGGCATTCCATGAAAAAGCGAAATGGAAGCGAGCATCGACCACAAATTCTATTTTCTAAAGGTGTTGGACAAGTGTTGCGTTCCCCTTTCATTAGCTAGATTCTTGGGGTGGAGGGGGGGGGGGGTACTTGCAAAAAATACTAAAAAAGGGGTGTGTAGCTGGTTGTTTGAAACCCCTACACCTTATCAGACAGAAATAAACTCAAATTGCCTACCCATTTTCAGACTGTGGATTTTAGACACCCCTTTCCAGACAGTAAGCATAAATGGTACCAAGAGAAAACAGGTGGGCTTGAATTCTCCTGTTTGTAAGATCACTAAACTCTAGAGTCAGTCTTTGGAAAATATGGCCCCCTTCTCAGACAGAAATAATGAAAAAAGGATACCCCTTTTCAGACAGAAATGGTGAATTTAGGAGCCCTTTTGGAGGAACGTATACATATAGCACTTCAATGTAAGCACCCCCCCCCCCCGGGTTAGATTATGGATGTTTGTACTGAACTTGGCTACTGAAATTCTTTGTTTTGGATTCAGAATGGTTAAGTATTATTCAAAACTGTATTTTGTTTTAAAATGTAGCATAAATCTCAGTTTAGTTTTTTTTTTCTTTCACTTTTTTTTATATTTTGTTTTGATAGTGTTGATTATTTTCTTAATGTGATGTCATTATTAGTTTGAACACTGTATGTTGTGATGTTACTTTTAATTTGGAGGCTGGCTAACTAACTAACTAACGTTTTCGGCTGGTTCGATCGGGGGGCTATCAAACTATAATTAGGTTATCTCTAGGGCTGACCAACTATAACTAGCATTATCTAGAGTGTCTCGATTCCGGGATGACTAACTAGAATTGGCATTATTCCTAGTGGCTCGATTGGGGCTGGCTTACTAGAACCATGGAGCTAGAAATGAGCACTTGAAAATTGAATATACCAACCTGTCAGGGATACAACATCTCGTATCATCGTGAAGCCACACATAATGGACAAAGTAGTGACTACAAACGGGCGGTAGATAGGCATGGTGATGGCATATGGGCGTTCGCTACTTTAGTTGTTCCATCATGTGCAAATCAGGTGACGCTAGAACTCAATATGACCCTTGACCCCGCTTTGTATTGAGTTACTGCATGCACATCGTCGCAAACGACACGACCACTTTGCGACATCTGATTATGGGGGTGAGAATACCGCCAAATGGGAAGAATATGAAGGAAAGAAAAGAAAACACCTATCGAGATGTGTGTGCTAGAGACACGTTATAAAAGGCGGTGGTCGTCGCGCCGCGCATGTGCAACATTTGTGTTAATAAATATTCCCACAAACCAATGCGCTCTTCTAATGGAAATCACAAGTATGAGGTTTGACCTGAGACTATTTTTATCAAATCAGAGTAAAATTTATTTCTTAAGTGGAATGTTGCATTGCATAGAAATAGGAAATGATATACATCTTCTATCAGGGGGGAATTCTTCGGTTTCGGGGTTCTCCACACGTATCAGGGGGGAATCTCGTTTCGTCCCTATACCGAGCCCCCTTGAGGTACGGGATCAGGGGAAGTCACTTACGCCTTACAGTCAAATAAGACACACACAACGAAATACGTTTCAACTCTCGTCTTAGTCGTCTTTTGAGCACTCTATAAGACACAGCGCCCTGGGGAAAAGTCCCCAAGACTTCCAAGGCTGAACCAAGACTAGCCCAAGACTGTGCTTAGACTCGCCCCAAGGCTCTCCAGGACTGGACTTGTCCTGGTCTACTCGTCAAGACCAACTAAAACTCTCTTTATTCATTTTCAAAACTCTAACCAATTACAAAGCAGTAAAAAAGACTCTAGGGCGTAACCTTCAATCATAAAGCCAATCACACTAAGTACTGAATACGTCATATCCTTTGATTAATCGTTCACTACATTAATAACTACGGATACCAACTGTCAGAATTAGTAGTCAGAATAGCGACGGTTATCTCGTAATTAGTTCCAAATCACTGAGCCAAGTTCCGTCCAAAACTTCAAATAGGCCTAAACGATGACAGACATAACACAGCAATTCGCTAATAATCAGCTAATTAAGTCGATTAACAGATACGCGAAAACTAATTCCTGACACTTCTATGCCACCATGACACAACTGACGAATGCCATTCCCTTTGTAATTTACCCATTTTAGTTTATTTCCTTGTAAATCCAGTGAATTAGACCTGACCTTAAACATTAATGATATGCCATAATGATCATAGGGATCCTTAATATAGTTTTCCTTTTTGTTATTTCTTTTGATCCAACAATAGTGTTCAAGAGATTTCATGTTATTTATTTTATCTGTAAAATGTTTCAGTTCATTCACTTCACTTATTTTATGAAAGCTTTTGATCCACTGTGTATTAGTTTGTGTTTCAGTCCCATGAATTTAACATGATCTAGTCCATTAGAAACAAGAATATAATTTTGTTTATATATTTTGGCCAATTCAAATTTATCAAAAATATAGCCTAAATCTGTCCATCCTAAATCTTCTAATACAGCTGTGCCTGCAACATTTCTATTCACTTTGAAAAGAAATTTGCCAAATTGTATTGTAGGCTCTTCATCAACTTGTTTATGTCTTCCTTACTTTCCAAAAAACCATACACCACACCCATAGCTAATAGATGGCATTATTATATTCCACAATACATCACCATATTCAAATCTATCATTATGTTGATTTATAATGCAATACGCTATTAGTTTCCTCCATTTCTTATAAATTTCAGTGAACTGTACATGGTCTTTAAGATTTTTAGAAATAAATATTTATATGTGTTTGTTTCTTCTAATAAAAAAATTCCTAATTTCCAAAGTGTGCTATTTTTATGCATTTTCTTACCGAAGTACTTTATTTGAGATTTAGTTTGGTTAAAACTTAGTTTCCATTGTTTTGCAAATTTATCTGCTATATTCAGCATGTTTTGTAATTCCACTGCATTGTTTGCGATGCGAACAACGCCATCTGCCCAGAAAAGTCCAGGGATTACTTGTTTCCAACTTTCACCCCAAGGTCTGAATCATGCAGCATTCACTTCGCAAATTCATTGATATATATATATATTGAAAATAATAAGGGACTTACTACACATCCTTGCTTAACCCCTTCAGTTGTTTCAAAGTAATCTGTTTCTATTTCATTAAAATTGACTTTGTTAAAAACATTATCATACATATCGTCAATGATGTCCCAAACTTTTCCCTTAATTCCTACACAATGCAACTCTTAACCCATCTCTCCAAACTCTATCAAAAGCCTTCGAAAAATCAATCTCACCTAGTATATTATTTTCCTTGACAAATTCTTTTAATTTTGTTTCAATTATTTTTGCATAAACTTTGGATACGGCTGAGTTTAGAGTAATGCATCTATAATTATTTATTTTTTTTACGTCACCTTTCTTATGAATTGGTTTTACAACCCCTTGTTTACAATCGTTTGGAATTTTGTTATTATTCAGACATGACTGAAAAAGAATCGTTAAAGAATGAACTGATTCCCCGCCATTAATGATGAATTCATTGGCGACGTCACCAGAGCCGCACGCTTTACCAGTTTTACAGAATTTTATTGCATTTCGAACATCGTCTTGATTTATTGTACTCGTTGATCTGCGTAACAGTCAAAGTCGCCATCTTTGTTTGTTTATATACGTACGTAGCATATGTATTCTAAGTTGAACTGCCTTCCCATGGCTATGTACAAATATAGAAGTTATTCTGTTGTAGTTTTAGATCCGTGGTACATCGTGGCCATTTCACAATGTAATCTCATCCTTACAATTAATTAAATAAATAAAAATTTAGTATATTATTCTTATTTTTGAATCGCTGATAACATAAATCTGTACTATTGCATTGGTGATACATTGAGTGCCATAGGATGGTACTTGATGGCCAACCAACCTAATCAAATATGTATTTTGCATTGTACGAGTC